TTTCAATGATAAAATGTCAAAAGCAGCTCTAAACAACAAAATGCTGATACTTCTCATAAATATAGGAGATCTGCTAACAGGAGTTTACCTGATGAATATAGCGGTAATGGACACGATAGTGTACGGGAGTACCTACTGTATCAAGAGACTGGAATGGCTCACTAGTGCTCATTGTTCATTGATCGGTGTTATCAGCACTGTTGGTTACCAGATCTCTCTGGTTACCATGACAAATCTCGGTCTAGCTAGATTGGCGGAGATAAAGAATGGGTCTATGATTAGTTGTAGAGTGAACAAGCGAGCCATCCTCAGAATCTTCCTCCTTGTATCTATCATCGTTCTGATGTCAGTCATCATAGCTGTAGCGCCGCTGCTAGAACAGTTTGAAGACTTCTTTGTCAATGGTATGACCTATGACCCTTCAGCGAGATTGTTTATTGGAGCTCCTAGAAAAGAAATCCATCTGAGTGTGTTACAAGGGTACTACGGGAATATAAAGGGGGATTCTCTCAAGTGGGCAGCTATAAATGACCTTGTGAACGGAATGTTTTCTAATGATTACGGAGGTGATACACTCGGCCGGAGGAAGCTTGAATTCTACGGAAATGAAGGAGTCTGCCTCTTTAAATTCCTAGTTAAAGAGGATGACCCTCAGCGTATCTACACGTGGACTATCTTAACAATGAACATAATCTGCTTTGTTATAATCTCTGTGTGTTATATTCTGATAAACACGATCACTAAAGCTTCTTCCAGGGTCCTTACCCAGGATACATCCCATACAGGCCAAGAGGTAAGGAAACGGAACAGACGGTTGCAGCAGAAAATATCCGTCATTATTTCCACGAATCTGCTGTGCTGGTTGCCAGTAACCATAGTTTGCTGTCTGCATTCTGGTGCTATTATTGACGCAACCCCCCACTATCCTATCATATCAATAGTATTTCTACCCATCAACTCTGTAATTAACCCTGTGTTATACAGTGAGTTTTTCAGTGGCCTGTGGAGAAGATCCTGCAGAAATGTGGCATGGATTTTCACCAGAAATAGAAAGGACCCGAGGATATTGCCTAATCAACTATCTACCAAACCGAAGGGGATCGTCGTTGAAATTGAAATGAGTAACATGAACACTATTCAAAAGAAAGGCGACTTTATATTAACCACATAAACTGAAGTAGAACTGAAATGAACTTTACTAAATGAGTTTACTTTCCTCAAACTTACATAATGATGCAAGTTTATTAGACCAATCAAAAAGTCCGTAAGATATTGATTTGTTATACTAAATCGTTCAGCTGCGTTGAAAAAAAGTTTCGTAGATATTTTTCTTTGCTGTTTTTTTTGGGAATATACTTAATTCATGTACAGTGGGGTGACATATGTTTTCGTCATTTCTGATAATGATAATACAAACTGTGTTACTAACTAACTAGATCAGACTCCCCACGATCGTCCTCACTTGAGTTTTAAAAATTAGTAACCATGGTAACAACTGTTTTAATACTTTCAACTATATTACATATAATTTGATATCATGAATACGATGTTGTTACATTGAAACGTAGAACATTTCCTTATCCTGATAAGGGGTCGTTCACATATTACGTAATCAGCCGAGGGGGGGTAAAAACTGCTAAAATATTGATAACTTTATATGTGAACGACCCCTAATACGTTAGATGGTTACTGTGATAGCGCAATGCTTTGACAAATTCATAAATTTTACTTTACTTTACTTTAGCTAAATTCCATATTTTAATTTCTAAAGTAACTTTACTTTCATATAACTATTAAGTTATATTATTAAGTTATTAGAGGAATCAGAATTATAAAAGGGGTACCTCAGTCCTCAAGAGAAACATTATATTTTTGTTTGTAAGTCCGACGTTCATATATTACGTAAGCCAGAGTTTGGCCGGATTCTACACAGTAATTGATCACCAATCTTAACAAATGTTTACTAATTGTATGTGATAATCACAATTCAAAATAAATATTTTCGCACAAGGAACCATATGAAATTTCTGATGGATGTCTTATAGAATAGGATACGTCTGGTTTTTAATTGGCAAGATATCATGCTCCAATCTTAACGGGTGATACTCGTAAAATATTTGTTTCAACTCGGCGCGCGTCCTGGTAGGTTATAAACCTAGAAGTTCCAATTTTGAGATTAATACTAATAGTAAAGGCTAATTACGGGCAAAAAGATGTTTTTTCTGCTATGAGTTTGGAGACCTAACCATTAATTGGACACAATAGTATGATGTGTAAGGATCAAGAATATGTTGCTACACGTTGTATACCTCTCGTGCACGCGAAGCGTGCACGCCGGCCGGCTGGCCGGCCGCGCGCGATCAAAACTTTTGACAAAAGGGGTTGCAGCGTGTGTCAAAGAATATGTTAAGAAATATAAATATGACTTTATTAGTCATTGTATCACGTTGTGACACCCACGGTCGTTTCATTAGGTCGTTTCACTAGGTTTATTGACGGATGTTACTCGTCTAAATTTCTTCGAAGTAGCTCGCGCCGCTTTTTTCTCGAGAAGTGCTTTCTTCTCGAGAAGTGCTTTCTTCTCGCAACTGCTACGAAGTAGCGCGCGCCGGGCCAGACCATTAACAATGGTCAATAGGTTTATCTTACTGGGCCGCGCTCAGCCTGTCATTCCGCCAAATCTTTATTATGTTAATGAACATAATAGCCTGGGGTCCTCAGGTAAGGTTTATCGTCTTGACGATACAGGGGGAGCCGCGCACTTCGTGCGCGGCGGGTCATACAACGTATGACAAATTAGTCACGTGCTATGCCTATACCAATGCGCGATTTAAACTTTGACAGTCTATAACTCTTAGGCCAATGAAGTAATTATATTAGGGGGTGCACGAAAAAATAAACTTGCTCGGATTTTAAAATTTTTGTACCACTGTTTTCTAGAGACTGTGAGAATTTGCACAATACCAAATTTGTCATACCTTTTTGGAAAGATCAGTGAGTTTCACCTAGGTGCCATATTTGATGGTGCGCGGCTTTTGGAGCAAAAGTAGTTGTAAAAGTCGCGTAATTTGACCAAATTCGTCCAAATTTGACCAATTTTGTCGTATTATTCGGATTTATCTCCAGTTCCTTAAATGAGATCATTCTGGAAATTGGCGACGACCTTCCAATAGGGCTTTTACAACTGTCCGAAAAATTTGGTGGATATCGGAGTTGATATAGTGATCAAAATGGGGCAAAATACGCTGCTTTTAGCTGTAACATAATGTCTGATGGTTGGATATGCTTTAAATTTTGCGGACACTTTCCTTGTAAGTCTATGAGTAAGCTTACCAATTTTTGTTGCAATTAGAGGTCGGGAAGGATACTCAATATCTATTTGTTTGAAGAAAATTGTGCTGGTCAAAATTAGCGCTAAAAAACCATCATACAGTCGGCACGCGCGGCTCACTGTCGATGGCGCACTACCTAATTATATTCATATCTTGTCAGCAATAATATCACATTGTTTTCTATTTGTTGTGAAAATATATTGAGCTAGAAGAGACGTAATATCGAGTTATATAGCTGTTTGAAATTTATGATGAACGCGCAGGTGCCCATTGATAACAAGTACAACTAAATGCTTTTGCGCGACGAAAATTTGGCAAAAACCCTTGCGGAGTGACATTGACCATTGTTAATGATCTGGCCCGGCGCGCGCTACTTCGTAGCTCGTGCCGTCGGGCCAACATTTCGAGAAGAAAGCGGCGCGCGCTACTTCGAAGAAATTTAGACGAGTAACATTCCGTCAAGGAGTGACAATATTCAAACTTCAATAAAATATATCAAGTGGGTACTTCTCGAAACGAAAAATTTTGGCAAACACGATACAACTATTTTTGGATTGATTTACTACAACTGCAGAAAATAATTCCAAATTTAAGCAAAAAAGGATCATTTTGACTACCTTTTTACCCGGAGAAAATTAAGGGATTTGTTTTATTTTAATTTCATGTGCGGCTATCTTCATGCAAAAGCTGATGCAACGAAATTAAATTGCAAAGTTCCAACATGTTTTTCGTTGGATCGCCGCTTCGACGCTAGGGCCAAGCGCAAACTACTACTACATAGTTTGCTTGCATGACAATGTCATAGCAAATAGAAATCGTTGAAGCGTATTCGAGGGTTGACATTGAAATAGTAATTCTAAATGTTTGAGGCTAAAGTAATCGATTTTCGTACGGTAACTTGTGTAACGTGGGACCCAACACGTGTTCACTAGTTTAGAAATGTAGCGTTTTGCTACAGGGTGAGCCACTTGTGGGGCGGTCATCAAATATGACAAGGAAACTCACTTTCCTTATACAATAATTTCAAACTCTTTTATCGATTCTCGGTCAAATATCGTATAAAACCTGTACGGAGTCCTATTTATCAGCGTAAAATGTTCGTAAGAGCATTTATATTAAATAAATACATGTCAACTAACCAAGATCATGATTAAATTGTGAGTAAGAACGTAGGGTCTAGTTCACTTAAACTTATTGCTAGTTGAGATCCAGCGCTACGGTGGTAACAGCTATCCAAGCTCGGAAGGTATTGACATCGTCATTCAATGGTATTGTGTCATCACTTGCTGACTACACTGTGCATAGTACTCCTTTATACAGTTGTAACCCTTTTTGCGACAAGAGAGGTTACAACGTATACGAGTACCGACGTACTTCCTTCATTGTCGAGTTGTAGGCCCGCACGCACGAGTGGGGAGTGTTGCGTGACTTTCGCAACGATACTCGGTTAATCACACTATAAATGAAAACACTATATAATGACATAGACTTTAATGACCTGATTTTGTCATGGTTTAGCTGCAAACGCACAATTGACACATATTTGACAAGTGTATGGGTATAATTTACCTTATATTCTTAATTAATTTAGAACAAAAGGTAACGGGAAAATCCATATGGTGTTGAAGAAGTACAATATCTCAGGAGTGCTAAAAAGGTACCGTTTAATCGAGAGGACTTCACTGATGACAGAGATGTGGAAAAGACTACGTCCTTCTCTGGAAAACTACAAGGATAAAATACCCACCTTCTTCGGGAAAAAGTCCATCATATGCGAAAGGTAAATCGTTTATTTTTGAAAACCCGATCACGATCAAAGCATATACAATTTGGGCATGTCCCAGCCAACCTAAGCCGAAAATCTGGCTTTGAAATCTTTAATTTGAAAACACCCAAAAATGTAGTTAATATACCCCTCCACCATACCAGATCGATTTTAAGTCAGCCAAGGCATAATTACTGCCCAAAAAGCCTGTTCCAAATTTGTCTCAATTCTGTTCCAGAATCCCAACTTCTCTGAAACCAAAATGGAACATTGCCCACAAAGCCTTTTCTGCTAGGGCCACCAAACTTTTCAAGGACACTCCTGGTATCGATACCAATCGATTCTGATCGCCTTCAACTCAGTTTAGGCGATTTTAGGGTAAAGTTCATTTTTGTTCATTTCATGAACCAGGGGATCATTTTGCACTAAAAAGGTTTTTTTAAAGTTGAACAAAAAATGTCACAATTTGATGTGTGAAAATAGTGCTTTCGATGTGAAACTGGATGATTCTTGACGCACCCTATCCCTTCGGTGGAGTATTAAATTTCAAAGAAAAAAACTTCTGAGTTGCTGAACATGTTAGTAAACAATATGCCCCTCTACCATACCATATCGATTCCATGCCAGTCCAGGCATAATTACCGCTAAAAAGCATGTTTCTAAATTTGTGTCAATTGTTTCCACCATCTCAACTACTCTGAAACCAAAATAGAAACATTGCCCCAGAGCCCTTTTTGAACATGCTAGGCACACCAAACTTCTCAGGGACACTCCTGGTATCAATACCGACCGATTCCAATTGGTTTTAGCCCAATTCAGGGGATTCTAGGAAAATGTTCATTTTGTGTTCATTTCATTCATTCCATGAACCAGGGGAGTATTTTGCAAGTCTAAGTGGCTGGAAATGTTAGTACATGTGTCCTTCTACCATACCAGATAGATTCCAAGTGGACACGTTCAAAAAAAGGTGGCACTAGAGATTGATTTTTTTAAATGAGTTTTAAAAATGGTCATTGCTCTTTGTTGGTTGATATATCTATCTATACCTTTAGAAATTCGATTAAATTTCATGATCCTGAAATCACGGAGTCTGTAGTGCTTATATCACAGGAGTTATCGTTATTTGTGTGCCAATGATTCAAAAATCACACAATTAGAAATGCAAGATGAATCAACACTAGATAATCTGAAAAGTACTATTCACAAAGACGCCAAAATTGATATGGTGACTATAATGCATGTAAGGAATAAAATGTCTTATCTGAAATTGTTATTGGTGCCAAAATGATTCAAAAATCACAACTTAAACATTGGAAATGAGCCTATTTTGAGCAGTGATTATTGAATCATCTTACGTTTTTATTGGCTTTCTATCATTTGTTAGGGTACAAAATAGTATTAAATAGTATTAAAACCAGTTAATATGATTCAAAAATCACATTTTCGTTATTGGTGCGCTATTAAGTCTCACTATAGTAAGCCTTAAATTAAGTGCACAATATGACAACATATATCCATTCTATGGTTCTTATTATGTGATTTTTGAATCCATGTCTAAGCTTATACCATATTGAAGGCCTTTGAGCGATAATTTTTGATCTGGGTGGTTAAATGATTCAAAAATCACACAAATCTGGCTACCAACTATGTAATTTTCTTTAAAGTATGACAATTGAATCATATGTAATGTTCAAGTTGTAATGACATTTTGAAAAGAAAGGTAATGAATCGATAATCACATTTCAAAAATTCAATTAAGTATTATACGTAACTGATTGATTCATTTGTCACAGTATGGAGACAAAATTATCATGGCTTGAGTAGTAAAAGTACTTGCCTAGTTTAATCAGTTTAAAATCAGTGTTTTGTGATTATTGATTCCACTATTACTCTAATAACGAACTTCTCCATGACCATAAACAAGTGCAGTGTCACAACAAATTACTGCAGATTTACTATGAATACCAACCTGATATAGAGCCAAAAAGTGATGTTGTTGTTGTGAAACCAGTATTTCTGGTACCCATAGGGGATTTGAAATCAACTTATAAATCAAATGTCATTCCTCAAAGTATCATAATCAAACCCCGGGCGAGTCCAAAATTAGAAACCTGAGTATTGATTCATATGAAATATGAATATCTCTTAAACGATAAAATTTCCTGAACCAGATCTGACTCGCTATGTCTGTTCAGACATGTTTGTCTGCCAGATCGTGGTACCTGAGTCCCTTCATTGCCGTGCATTGAAATCACACAATAACACACAAAGCTAGAATCACGGCAAATCGACATTCATCGCTTCTTCATCGGAGTACTAATGGACAGTGTTCAAATGGACAGTGTACATTCCCCTGATACAGCATAATTTCAATACATGCTCATTTATGTGATTTTTGACTCATTATGGCACTTTTAACCATCTAAATTCTCTAAATATTAGTTAGCATGATATAATTGACATTGATAGAGTTCATTGTTACAATCATTCCGTTGATATTCATATCACATTCATCATTCTAAAATACTTAGTCAGAATTAACCCTGTATGTGATAATTGCATCGTAACTCCACATTTAACCGGTGATTCTTTGCACTTTTAACACTCAGCTATCTCAAAAAGGTTCAATAATCACATTGAGAAGCAGGACACACTCACAGAATGTAAATTCATGATTAGAGGTGCAAGAAATGAATATTTTGTGATTTCTGGCTCATATCTGCACAATTAACAGATATAAAGAGATGAATGACTTTATTATGTGACATTTGAATCTTTTTGGACCACATTAAAATTTGGTTAACTTTCATAGCATACTCCTTGAGATACAAGTATTTTAAAATGCTTCACACAATTTTGGCAGTGAAAAATCAATCTCTAGTGCCACCTTTTTATGAACATGTCCAAGTCAGTACAAGCATAAATACGGCTGTAAAAGCATGTTTCCAAAATTGTATCAAATGTTTCCACCATCTCAACTACTATTTTCATTTTTGTTCATTTTCCATACATTCCATGAACCTGGGTAATGTTATTTGAGTTTTGATGGCTCTTAGGCCTAGTTTTTACCTACATCCATCTTAGAAAACCGAATTGAGGCTTCCCAGCACTTAAATACAGCCAATACTTCGATGTGCCCATGTTCCAAAAATCTGGATTCTCAGGAGGATTATTGTGCCAAAATTGGGACATTTTGGAACATTGGTAACATCGGTTCTAGACATGTAATGATTCTCAAACTGGTTTGAGTGGTCCTAGGACTAATATAAACACTTTCCGACCCATTTTAAACCATTCTGAGCACTTTGAGAAGAATGTTCATTTTCGTTCATTTCTGGTCATTCCATGGGTAGTTTTATACGACTTTTTATGGTTCCTAGGCCTAGCTTACGGCTATATCCATCTTAGAAATCCGAACTGAGCCTTCCCAGCACTCAAATACGGCCAATACTGTGATGTGCCCATGTTCCAAATTTATGAATTCATCTACTGCATCTTCTGATGGCGGCTTGCGCGAATTCGATTTTCGGTAAAAACCACATCAGTTTTCAAATTTGAGATATTTTTAGCGCGCGGCGCGCGCACTGCGTGTTAAATTTTAAATTTACGCCAGCTAGCAGGTGTCAGATTTACTGGTTATAATTGTGGGAAGTCCATCTATGTTTATTATTAATAATTTTTGGTTGACTATTTATTTTCCCCAGGAAACTTACTCACGTGCGAAAGACGAACTCTAAGAATTGGAGAATAACGGCAGTAGACAGCAGCTAACTTCCCCTGTACTCAACGACATTGAACAATAGACATGAAATGACTCGCTGACCCCCTACAAAGTACTTGTGCTCGGAGGCAGAATTTGGCATCGTTTGGGTCGAGAGATTTCCAAGGGTAATGATACAGTTAAACTGTATAAAAATACCTCTCTAAAACAACCTTCTCCTGGTCGGCCATGTCCCTCATCCTGCACTTGACCCCTGCAGAGGTCACAAGAACATCGGAGCACAAATGAGCGAGAAACGGGGAAGCCTTAGCTTCCGGGTCAAGGACTGCATCACTAGCACCTACCTATTGAACCTATTGATAGGTTTAAAAGTAGGCATCTTCACGCAATCTGCGGACCACCTCCTAGCAGCGAAATACGGATATACCCTCCCTATTACATGCGTTCAACCGGCACCCGAACCACACGCTGTTTCTTAGACACAACTTCCCACTTAAATCAGTGTCCTGTCGCATCAACTGGCATCGGCAAGTGGCGACACTGTGTAGACTCAACCCTGAGCTTGATCAGAATCTTCAGTCACAAACCTGACACCGTTTCGGGGCTTGCAATACGGTTTTCTGTCAGGCTCCCAGCAGTTTCTTTTGACCACCATCTCATCTGACAATCACCCGAGGATACCTGCCAGAGCTCGCAATTTACGACGAGTTAGCTTATGGCACCTCTGGCTGTTAAGTGAAGTCATAAAGCTCAAACAGCTCTCATCTCCCATTCTCTCTTCCTAGACAGCAGACCTGGGAGAAACTCCTTCTAGCCGGACGTCACGCGTGATGTACGAGAAACTACGGACAGGTGTGTACCTATACTTTTTAAAATTACACATTTCGTCTGGATTGTGATTCACTGCAAAACAAGTCGCAGGTTCCAATTGTAGAACTATAAAATTTTAATAATTCATGGTTGATTATACGGCCTAAGCGGTATACAAATAAAGCGTTATTATTATTATTGCCTCTAATCCTCAGGGTACTCCTACTTGCGTGCGAAAGACAAAGGCAGCAAGAATCGAAGAACAGAACCCCGACCACACTGCTTGTGAGAAATGAGCAGCTCTTGATCTAGGACAAAAAACTTTCTTCTGTTTAATATCTAAAACGTGTTACGTGTGATATTACACCAACTTTTGATTAATAATACGAAACTTTATACCTTATAAAGTATGATATTTAAACACGAAAATTTACATTCTGAAATTGGTATAGTGTTCCTTTAACTGTTCCTTCAACTTTCATCGTAGCTTTTTTCAAAATATTCTTCAGTGCCATCAACAAACAGATTTTTTCATTTGACTGAACTGTGCCATATTTGATATTGCCTCTGTATTTTATAGGGAAAATTTTTTAAATCTTGCAAGTCGATGTAATTAAGTTTTAAGTTAACGTATTATAGATATGTTAACACTAGTTTATGTTTCAGTATTTAAATTGTTTCCATTTATAGTTTAACCGCTCCCTGTTGTAGAGTTATCAGATCTTTACTTAGGATAAACAATATAATATGAAGTTCGATAATAATATTAATAAACATTAATTGTATTCACTGTTTTCTAGTCATCAAACTTCAGATCAGGAGGTGACCGGGACATGATTTTAGGCTTGACCGGGACCGGGACCGGGATAAAAAATGTGACTTGACCGGGACCGGGACTGAGATTATCAATTTACCGTGACCGGGACCGGGACCAATAATTTCTGGGATTTCTATCTTACCGGGACCGGGACCAGGACCGGGACCAACAATACAATTTTTTCGGGATGACCGGGATTTTACCGGGATGACCGGGACCAAAACTGGTATTCTCATATTGAAAGCTGCAACTTTCATTTACATTATAATTGAACAATTTGAATAAGTAATAACTAGAATATTAAATTAGAAAAAAATAGAAAAAACCCGTCAATATGGGGCATGGGCCTAATGTACTACACCAATAATGTTCATGTACTGATTACTCAAGTTCACCCTCATTCCTCAGTCAATGATCCCTCATTATTCAACAGTTTCATTCTCCAATTGACAATTGGGCGTAGCCCGAGTTGAAAACTTGTTAGTTTGTTAGTTTGCACTTATGAGTTATGTAACGATATTAGTTACCTAAACTTGTTTAGCAATTTTAAACATTGTTTTATTTGGCTCAGAGGTTGTTTTAAGATGAAATTCACAATGAATGAAAGTAAAAACTTAAAATCACAGTGAATGAAATTATCCCGGTCAAAATCCCGGCAAATTTGAGTGATTGACCGGGACCGGGACCAAGAATCCTGAATTGACCGGGATCATAAATCAGCATTTGACCGCGACCGGGATGAAAAATGTGACTTGACCCGGTTGACCGGGACCGGGATAACTCAAAATTGCCAATCCCGGTCACCTCCTGCTTCAGATCGGGGTAATATATTTATAATGTACAAAATGATACGCTTCCTTTTCCTCACCTTCGCATCTTTGATCTTGTTAAGTAAAACACATAGTAAGGTTCCCCAGAAATGTCCTGTAAACTTGACTTTTTATTTAGGCCGGTAAAAACCCACAACTGACTGAGGTTTCGAAATACAGCCAAGAACTCAGATATGACACAATCAATTTTATGTGTATGAAACAAATTTTCAACTGTCTGGCGGCGATCAGCATGTCATACTGACTAAACTCTAATCGGTTTATGAAAATTACATCCCGGTTAATGAAAAGCGTAGCCTGGAGTTCCCGCTCCCAGGTAAAATACATACATAAATGAGGACCGCCAAGCAAGGAATGAAGAACGAAATTAAATATTATCTAATCGATTACAAATCTTGCAGATTCCTGAAATTAAATGTAAAATGCAGCTAAACTCGTGCATCTAATAATAATATGACAATATGATAGAATTGTAATAATGCTACATGCTACGCGCGCTAAAACGATGAATCTAATCTAAATCTAGTAACCATATCAACGCGCAGTAACCATAGTAACGCGCTCGATTCAATTCCAGTATATTGCGACGAGTGTTTACATCACTAAATTAGCTGTAACTTTGTGTGATTATGGACGATCGTGCTAAATTTAAGGCGCTGTGGCTAAAATCGTCCACTGAACCAACAGGTAAAATTTCAGAGAGATCGTCCCCAGCGCTCATTTTCACCTCGCGAATGATCAGCTCGCAGTGGGTGCGCGGCGGGTCATACAACGTATGACAAATTAGTCACGTGCTATGCCTATACCAATGCGCGATTTAAACTTTGACAGTCTATAACTCTTAGGCCAATGAAGTAATTATATTAGGGGGTGCACGAAAAAATAAACTTGCTCGGATTTTAAAAATTTTTGTACCACTGTTTTCTAGAGACTGTGAGAATTTGCACAATACCAAATTTGTCATACCTTTTTGGAAAGATCAGTGAGTTTCACCTAGGTGCCATATTTGATGGTGCGCGGCTTTTGGAGCAAAAGTAGTTGTAAAAGTCGCGTAATTTGACCAAATTCGTCCAAATTTGACCAATTTTGTCGTATTATTCGGATTTATCTCCAGTTCCTTAAATGAGATCATTCTGGAAATTGGCGACGACCTTCCAATAGGGCTTTTACAACTGTCCGAAAAATTTGGTGGATATCGGAGTTGATATAGTGATCAAAATGGGGCAAAATACGCTGCTTTTAGCTGTAACATAATGTCTGATGGTTGGATATGCTTTAAATTTTTCGGACACTTTCCTTGTAAGTCTATGAGTAAGCTTACCAATTTTTGTTGCAATTAGAGGTCGGGAAGGATACTCAATATCTATTTGTTTGAAGAAAATTGTGCTGGTCAAAATTAGCGCTAAAAAACCATCATACAGTCGGCACGCGCGGCTCACTGTCGATGGCGCACTACCTAATTATATTCATATCTTGTCAGCAATAATATCACATTGTTTTCTATTTGTTGTGAAAATATATTGAGCTAGAAGAGACGTAATATCGAGTTATATAGCTGTTTGAAATTTATGATGAACGCGCAGGTGCCCATTGATAACAAGTACAACTAAATGCTTTTGCGCGACGAAAATTTGGCAAAAACCCTTGCGGAGTGACATTGACCATTGTTAATGATCTGGCCCGGCGCGCGCTACTTCGTAGCTCGTGCCGTCGGGCCAACATTTCGAGAAGAAAGCGGCGCGCGCTACTTCGAAGAAATTTAGACGAGTAACATCCGTCAAGGAGTGACAATATTCAAACTTCAATAAAATATATCAAGTGGGTACTTCTCGGAAACGAAAAATTTTGGCAAACACGATACAACTATTTTTGGATTGATTTACTACAACTGCAGAAAATAATTCCAAATTTAAGCAAAAAAGGGATCATTTTGACTACCTTTTTACCCGGAGAAAAATTAAGGGATTTGTTTTATTTTAATTTCATGTGCGGCTATCTTCATGCAAATATTGCTGATATGCAAACGAAATTAAATTGCTCAAAAGTTCAAAAACATGGTTTTTGGCTTGGAGGACTTCGCCGCTTCGACGCCAGCGGCCAGACGCGCAAACTACTACTAGCATTCTTGCTTCGCATCGACAATGTCAATAGCAAATAGAAGATCGTTGCAGAGCAACGATCTGGAAGGGTTGACATAGTCAATCAAATTTTTGGCCCAAAAAGCGATTTTACCCGGGGAAACTTTGTACCACGTGGTGACCCCCACGGTCGCTTCACTACAGCGTCTTCGACTGTAGCGTCTTCGACGCTACAGGGGGAGCCGCGCACTTCGTGCGCGGCGGGTCATACAACATATGACAAGGGAAACTCAGACTTTCACTTATCACATATCATTTCAAAACCTCTTTTAATCGATTCTACGGTCAAAAATACGTCTAAAAACGTGTAACTGGAGTCCCTATCGTATCGAGCAGAAAATGCCCGTAAGAGCATTTACTATTAAATAAATAAATGTCAAACTAACCAAGATCATGATTAAAATTGTGATAAGAACGTAGGAGCTTCTAGTTCTACTTAAACTTAATGCTAGTTGAGAATCACAGCGCTACTAGGTGGTAGACAGCTACTCAAGCTGGGAAGGTATTGACATCGTCATTCAATAGTATTAGTGTACCATCACTAGACACTACCACTAGGCACTAGATCACTACCACTTTTATACACGTTGTAACCCTTTTTCGCGACACGAGAGAGGTTTACAACGTGTAGCGAGTACCACTGTACGTCTTATTGTAGAGTTGTAGGCCCGCCACGCACGAGTGCGCGGAGCTGTAGCGTGACTTTCGCCCCGATACTTTCGGTAATCACACTATATAATGACAACACTATATAATGACAAGCACTTTATAATGACAGCTGATCTTTGTCATTATATAGTCTGCAAAACGCACTATATAATGACAACACTATATAGTGACAAGTTTATCTTATATCGACTTTTCCTTACTTTTCTTTAATTCTACTTTTAGGAACAAGGTCGAAGCGAGCGAAGTTCCTCCATAGAGCCTGTTTGAAGTGGAAGTAGCAGCCACTCGTGCTGTTCGTACCATCTTCGAGAGGCTGCTGGTCCGACATCCAAGGTTAGCTCTGCACTCGAAGTCCAGTCCTGAAAGAACTTCAGCAACGATCCGTTTAGTTGAAGTGTCCGATGTCGATCCACGAGAGCGTTGTCCTTTCCTCGTATTCAACAGAAGGAGTAGCCATGATTGATATAGCTTGTCCTTCATTGAGCCCTATATATACGAGTACCAGTACCACCACATGATAACAAGCTCCAACGACACCAACGAGCTACAACAAGTACTCATGTTTCCACTTGAGTACTTGGATCACATCCTTTCCACAGCTTGCATTAAAATATTTGAGATGACGGATCAGCTAGTGATGATCTGTGGCACGTTCGATGTTACGCGACCTTACCATTTGAAGGCATGGGTCACATCCTTTTAGGTAAATTTGCAGCCGTCTCACATGTCATTATATAGTGTGCAAAACGCACTTTATAATGACAGGACTATATAGTGACAAGTCACTATAAGTATAAAGTGCTTGTCATTATATAGTGTTGTCATTATATAGTGCGGGAATCGATACTTTCCACTTTCACGAAATGGAATGACGATGAGGGTCACGACGTGATCAATCGTCGTAAACTTAAATTGCAATTGCGATATTAACAAAAGTTTTTAGTTTTAAACTAATTACAACACTACAAATCTATTACATTTATTGAGAATTATGTAATGTAACGCTATTATATGGAAGTATTTTGTATTTTAAGCGGGCATATCCTGTCCAAACCCAGGATACATGACATAAAGAATTTGGTTTAACTTAGTAGAGTTGGGTTAGAAACATATAAGAGATACGATGATTTAACTTGTAGAAGCTTTCAATAAACATGTGTTAATCGTCGTCAGCTGAATGTGATGGGGTGGAAAATGCTTATATATGTGATTGAGTGGTGTCAGGGATGGAGGGTGGGGAAGGTGTGGGTGGGAAAGTGAAAATTACAGTACAATGTCAATAAAAATTTAGTCTTCTGTTGAGGTTGAGAAGGAAATGCCAGATGGTCTGGACTTTAAAGATTTGGCAATTTTAGGAAGAATGGGGTCCCAGAGGGAACTACATTTCGGTGCGCGGTCTGTTCTGTTCATGGCTGGTTGTCGTATTTGTATAGCTGCGTGTTCTGTGAGGTCAAGTTGGGAGCGTGAGGTGAGGGATTTGAGGACTTCGATGTTGTTCCAGGAGATGGTGTGGCCGGTGGTCAGGGCATGATGTGCAGGGGCTGATTTGATTCTGTCTGTGGATTCGTCGATGGCGTTGTTGAGTCTGTAACATCGTTCGTGTTCTTTCATGCGGTGAATCAAAGGTCTGTAGGTCTGTCCGGTGTATTTGGAGGGGCACTGTGATTTAACTTGTTTGTATGAAAAGCATCAATACATTCGATTTCAAATTCAAAACAACAAAAATCATTATTATTGCACAATTGTAAATTGGAAACACAAACAACGTTTTATCTTTTTTTAATTTAATGATGTCAAATTAAATAACCTTCAAAACGTACTTCAACTTATTTTATACTTAAAGTGAAAATAGCAAAATCAAATGTGTACACAGACGCGTTTCCTGTGACCCCATTACCCCTATTAAGCGACGTTAATTAATTAAAGGCCCTGGCAAATCTGTCCTGGCAATGTTCCAAAACTCCGACCAGAACCTGCTGCAATGCAGTATTATTTTATTTATTTACCTGGTGATGTGGTGGGACAAAATACAGATTGACAATACAAGGACATTATTCTACTTGCTTAGGAGTATGAAGATGTCGTTTTGACAATTTTATTGATTGGTATAATTTGATAATGTCACAAATTTGGTCGCATCCAGGACAAGCCATGAGGGTCGATGGAAACAGAACATGTGTAAATCGAATATCTGCTATTAAGTTGTTCACGTATAATAGAAGTAAAATTAAATAACATTAATTGGTCTTGACAACATGGCATTGATAAGAATTACATCCCAAATCAGAATGGAATTAATATAACATTTTAAAATCAGATTCAGAAGGAGGGCATTCATATCAACACTATTGAAATGAAATGAATTATTAGAATGATTAAAACAGAATTCTGAGTGTTAATCATATTAGTATTATATATGATAGGATATATACATACAGGGTGTACCGCATAAAGTGTGACTTTCTTCCACTTCAATAGTTTTTGACAAAATTAAACTTCACGGTTATTTTTAACAATTTAGCACCATAAAAAATAGCAATTTGTGAGAAATCAAAAATTGATAGAGACTTGAAATTTGGTATGCATGAATTCGACACCTAGTGACACAACAATGTGATGAAGAGTTTTTAGCAACTTCTCCTTCATAATATTTTGTATCATTTCTAAAAAAGGTCACACTTTCTGTGGCATGAAATTTTGGGAAAGCACTTCAATTATCAAACCAAATGTGTCTAGAAACTTTGAAGTTCCTAGCTGTAATTAATTAAATTTGACGAAACTTTCAAGAAATCTAAGTTTGACCCATATCTAAAATCTCTAAAATTTCGGTGCAATTCTAAGAAGAATTACGTGAGTTATTGAAGGGTTGCGTGTGGGCAGTTACTCCTGGGCCACCCTGTATGTTAAGGAAGTAAGGATTGAGCCGGGCCGGGCCGTTCAATAAATCATAGAATTGAGTCAAATGAAAATGGTGGTTTAAGATAATGAAGTTCTGATCTTTAATTTGAAAAGCATTCTTATGTTGTCACTAAAATCAAAGATAAAAACCCTTAGTCATCTCCAATGATTATACCATAAAAGTTAAATTTTCATCTTTCACAATATTTTCACAATATTTTCACTACATCACCAATACCATTACCATTTCTCGACTTGCTATTGCTCAAATATTTCTCGCTTGTCTTGAGAAGTAAAACAGAGGTACACAGCGCCAGCAAAGATGAATTAGCGTCACACGCATGTGAAGATAGGTACCAGAAGATTCACTTTCTGTTTCTCTTTCATTACCAGTTTCCCTTTCATTATCGTTTTTGCCATACAATGACAGTACCGGAAGAGTCAGAACTGACCAGCAAGCTCTCGTCGTAACTCAGACATACGCCGTACACCGGACTGAAAATAAGAGGAGTTACTCAGACATACGCTGTACACCGGACTGAAAATAAGAGGAGTTACTCAGACATACGCCGTACACCGGACTGAAAATAAGAGGAGTTACTCAGACATACGCCGTACACCGGACTGAAAATAAGAGGAGTTACTCAGACATACGCCGTACACCGGACTGAAAATAAGAGGAGTTACTCAGACATACGCCGTACACCGGACTGAAAATAAGAGGAGTTACTCAGACATACGCCGTACACCGGACTGAAAATAAGAGGAGTTACTCAGACATACGCCGTACACCGGACTGAAAATAAGAGGAGTTACTCAGACATACGCCGTACACCGGACTGAAAATAAGAGGAGTTACTCAGACATACGCCGTACACCGGACTGAAAATAAGAGGAGTTACTCAGACATACGCCGTACGCCGGACTGAAAATAAGAGGAGTTACTCAGACATACGCCGTACACCGGACTGAAAATAAGAGGAGTTACTCAGACATACGCCGTACACCGGACTGAAAATAAGAGGAGTTACTCAGACATACGCCGTACACCGGACTGAAAATAAGAGGAGTTACTCAGACATACGCCGTACACCGGACTGAAAATAAGAGGAGTTACTCAGACATACGCCGTACGCCGGACTGAAAATAAGAGGAGTTACTCAGACATACGCCGTACACCGGACTGAAAATAAGAGGAGTTACTCAGACATACGCCGTACACCGGACTGAAAATAAGAGGAGTTACTCAGACATACGCCGTACACCGGACTGAAAATAAGAGGAGTTACTCAGACATACGCCGTACGCCGGACTGAAAATAAGAGGAGTTACTCAGACATACGCCGTACACCGGACTGAAAATAAGAGGAGTTACTCAGACATACGCCGTACACCGGACTAAAAATAAGAGGAGTTACTCAGACATACGCCGTACACCGGACTGAAAATAAGAGGAGTTACTCAGACATACGCCGTACACCGGACTGAAAATAAGAGGAGTTACTCAGACATACGCCGTACACCGGACTGAAAATAAGAGGAGTTACTCAGACATACGCCGTACACCGGACTGAAAATAAGAGGAGTTACTCAGACATACGCCGTACGCCGGACTGAAAATAAGAGGAGTTACTCAGACATACGCCGTACACCGGACTGAAAATAAGAGGAGTTACTCAGACATACGCCGTACGCCGGACTGAAAATAAGAGGAGTTACTCAGACATACGCCGTACACCGGACTGAAAATAAGAGGAGTTACTCAGACATACGCCGTACACCGGACTAAAAATAAGAGGAGTTACTCAGACATACGCCGTACACCGGACTGAAAATAAGAGGAGTTACTCAGACATACGCCGTACACCGGACTGAAAATAAGAGGAGTTACTCAGACATACGCCGTACACCGGACTGAAAATAAGAGGAGTTACTCAGACATACGCCGTACACCGGACTGAAAATAAGAGGAGTTACTCAGACATACGCCGTACACCGGACTGAAAATAAGAGGAGTTACTCAGACATACACCGTACACCGGACTGAAAATAAGAGGAGTTACTCAGACATACGCCGTACACCGGACTGAAAATAAGAGGAGTTACTCAGACATACGCCGTACACCGGACTGAAAATAAGAGGAGTTACTCAGACATACGCCGTACACCGGACTGAAAATAAGAGGAGTTACTCAGACATACGCCGTACACCGGACTGAAAATAAGAGGAGTTATTTAAATTTCCAAACTCATTATCCTAACTCAATATTATCAAACTTACAACATTTCTTATACTTAGACTTGCTGTTGTAGACATTAAGTTTTAACAATTGTAACACTTGAGCAGTAGTATCAACCCTACTTCAGGTACTCGAGTAGCACTAATATTTCGTTCGACGCCTTTCACAGTTTCAGTTACAACTACAAAACTACAAAATCAGTTCAACACTTTTGGTGCAAGGTACAGATTAAGCAAACATGTACGTATTATGGGTTTCAGGTTAACATTTTTCTCAGTAGATTTTAAATTCAAGTTATTTTCATAACTTAGAGCCTAACTGTACGCATGACACCTGACACAAACTCGAACCTATAAGGGGTGAAATGCCATAAACATAATATGATAAAACTAAATTCCGTTATCAAAAAGCCGCTCCCACGAATAAGTAACTGAACAATGAATATAACATTAATTGATTCGATGTAATGGGTCCAAGTTACTGCGGACATAGTTCACTATGTGTTTACCGTGTTTGGGTGCCCATCATATTTTACAGATGGGGGCGATATTTTGAACGATTCTATTTTATATTCATCTATTGCTGTACTCTGTAAAATTTGAAAAGTATTTAATAAAAAAAATATATAAGTAAGACCCAAATAAAGCAGAGCACATTTAAACGTACCTGAAGTAAAACACATCTCAAGTGGATCGGACAATTCCAGAATACGCTCCATCTCTAGAAGGATAAACCTTCCTGATGGCGTTTATCACACAAGAAGGAAGGACCTTGTGAGACCACTGCTTCTTTATTTGGGACGACACCAGATTCACGAACGCGTTATACGCCAAATGTCTGTACGCTCTATTACACCCATGATCCACGTTCTCCTTCCTCATCAACCACTTCTTACCCACCCAGTCTCCGTACTTTAAGCCCAACTTGTTGAGAACAACCTGGTTGAAGAGCAGGGTGTTGGTCACACACTCCTCACCGTTATCGAACAGGAACACCAACTCAGGACTGCTAGCACAACATATCATACCCGTGTGGTCCGCGTGGGAGCAGCAGGCGCAACTACACCAGGTCGGAGGTCCATTAGAGACTCCTGTAGCTGGGCTTCGAGCAGCCTTTGGTTGATGTTCGGCGACCACATGGCTGGTTCCGTTCCCATTTACGTGACTATGAGGTTTACCGCGAGGTGTGCATTGGGCGATGGTTGGGTCTCTGTAAACCTCGTAGACGGTCTCCTCGGGCCCATGGTTTGCTGCATCTGCCATGGCACTCAGTGGTACATAGCTGGTGGTGCTGGTCTTCCTGATTTCAGGGTCTGGACTAAATTTTACTGGTGTTTCAGGCATGTTGCTGTTACACTCGGTCAGCCTTCTTGGTATTGTGTAGGAAAGAGCTCGCTCCTCTCCTGTGTCCTTGTCTAGGGACAGATCTAATTTCTGGTATATGGCCTCGTCCTGACTCTGAGAATAGTCCTCCAGTTGTTGAGGGGAGGAGATAGGACTTGATCCTCTAGATAGGTTACCCGGAGGTAAGGGAGGAGGAGAGGAGGAAGGTTCCGAGAAGGAGACATGGTGAACAGGAGACGGGGGTGCAGGTCTGGTAGGTGGGGAGATGAGGGTTGTTGGTAGAGTAGTGGGCGAGGACACTATTGGTGGGGGAGAAACACAGATAGCAGGAGCGGGGGAGGTGAAGGTAGCAGCTACTTCTGATCCTAGAGCTGGTGGTAAAACAGGGACAAACACAGAGGAGGCAGCAGCAAGGATAGTGTTGCTTGGTGGCTCCACAATGTCAGGGACACTGACAGAAGGTTGCGTTTTGTGGAACGTTACTAGAGGTGCTGTAGGACTCAGTGGTGGAGACTGCTGCTCCGTATTACTACCACTGACATCTGGAGCTGAAGTTGCAGGTAGAGATGTTGTCCCAGAAGAGGAGGAAGGGGATGGAGATGGTGGGGACGCAACTATGTTGGAAGCAGAGACAGCTTTCTCAGCACTGACGGGGGTGTTTTTAATTCTATAGCTATTGCTCTGATCTCCAGTACATACATTCATCTCGGACATGACTCGTCTGGTCATCTTGGGACTGCTGGAAAGAGTTCCTTTTCCCTCCATGCTATGGTGCATGGCCGCCATCTCCAACAATTTAGGCTTCTCAGGACGATAAACCTTCCGGACATCTGGAATCACCTCCGGGACCACTTCCGCCGGTTCAAACATTCCCTCCATCTGCTTAGCAATACTGCTCCTCATGCCCCCTCCCTCACCGCTGTTATCTCCATTATCAAAATCAAAATCAAGCAAACTCTGTAAACTAGAAATAAAAGATCTATAACTGAGCGTCTGCACAGACAGCAAATTAGAAATGTCATCATGGTCACGCGATGTGCACCTAGCAGGCTCCTCGTCACCTGACATACCACCTGACATACCACGTGATATACCACGTGATCTTTCTCCTTGATTGTTGCTCAATTAAGCTATCAGGCAAGAGGGTTGTGTATATATACGGCAATGTTAAATCACTAGAAATATTAACCGAGGAGTAAGCTGAAATACCCAGGAATAGACGCTGAAACTGAGGATTCCTCGTATTCGTAGCTGGCAGAGTTAGGGTAAGTAGTGTGTCACGTGACCCTCCTCCACATCCTGGTTACGCACAGTGAGTATACTGATATAAACGAGCAGCGAAGGAGGGGGTTATTCTCTGCAAATAGAGCTCTGTAATTAGTTAACGAGGATAAGTAAACAGACCAGAGATTCGTCAGAGTGGAGAAGTATTGTTGTCTACTCTCTGTTGTGAGTCACGTGACAGCTCTAGTTCTACAACTACTGCTGGTCACGTGACAGCTCTAGTTCTACAACTACTGCTGGTCACGTGACAGCTCTAGTTCTACAACTACTGCTGGTCACGTGACAGCTCTAGTTCTACAACTACTGCTGCTGTTGTAACTGTAGTGCTGAACGTTATAAACACATGCAGATTGGAGGGAGGTTTAGTGAGACCACACCCAACAGAGGAATGAACCGTGACAGCGGTATTTGTAGAGGATTTAGGGTATCAAGATCGTTAATCTAAACCAAATATGATGAATAAAAGAGAGATAAGATAAAATCTACCGATAAAATCTACCAATAAACGTGGCTCTAAGTCCAAGATAAAGATGTAAATTAGAGCGGAGTTAGTGACCACACCCTCTAACAGCGGGAGAGGGTTCAGTATCAAGATCATCACGGTAAACCAGCTATTTAACTTTCATAAAAACTAACAAAAATTAATGACTCTTAGTTTTAAAACACCAATCATTTTCCTATGAAAAAACAAAAAATTTCTCTAAGATATCTAAAAAATAAAACGACGGTATTCGTAGAGGATCAGGATCTTTGGAATCAAGAGCGTAAGAGCTTCGTATGAAAATTATACAAGATCTCCTCTTCTCTCTATCAAATAAGTCTGTAATAACTTATCATTTAAAAATTAGAGAGAGCAGAGGAAGGCATGAAAGTAAATTTTTAGTTTACTGATTAATGACCTTACATCTAAGATGCATCTTAAGGTAGTATCAATGAAATTATAAAACTAAGAGAATAAGCATTCAAAAGATAACAGAGGAGAATACTTGAGGGCGCCTAGAAGACTTAATGATTTTACAGATCGTTTTGAGTTTCTTCAAGGTAAAAGCAGAGAAAGCTTTATAAGTAACTAGAAAACCCGTGGTCATAGGGAGGAAGCTAATAGTATTTTTTGTTAGTAAGTTTAAATCGCGTCAAAAAATATCCGTCACAACCAAAGATGCAGCCGATTAAAATGTTGCCCGTACTAAAATCAACAAAACCGATCAAAATGACGTTAAACAATCATTGCACGTGCACGTGCGTGTAACAATCCTCGTTACTATGGTTACTATTCAAATTCCTATTTTTCATCTAATTTGCACGTGGGCTGTCGTACAGACAGACATACAGAAATAATTCTCTGAATTATAGTAGAGATATTATATTATTAAGTTCGGTTGCTAGGGAACCAACTGTCGTAGCTAGGGTGGTCAATTCTGAATTTAAGAAATCGTAATGACCATTGATCATTCCACTATTAACACTATCTACTCCAAGAAATCAAGAAATCAAGAAAGCAAGAAATCAAGAAATCAAGAAATCAAGAAACTTCTCAAATAAATTAAATATCTTTCACTGTTTTGGAATAATCATTATATAATAATTGATGCACATATAATGAAATATAGCAGTCCGGTTAATTTAGTACCTTTAGTGGGTCTCATTTAATCATTAGTTCTAATTAAAGAACCTCTCAGTCTCACCCTCTCAGATTTTCACCGCTCCGTTCATTTTTATAGCTTTATTATTTTTATCTTTTTACTACACTTACCTACAGTAACACGTGCATTACAAAGGAGCAATAGTTTGCGGAGGCATTCTAGAACGGTATATATTTTAGCTTTCAGTTTCTGTTTCATTATCTTAAAATTTATTCCGCTTTTATTTTTATTCCCACTCTCGATTCCTTGCTAGCAGTCCGGTTAATTTAGTACCTTTAGTGGGTCTCATTTAATCATTAGCTCTAATTAAAGAACCTCTCAGTCTCACCCTCTCAGATTTTCACCGCTCCGTTCATTTTTATAGCTTTATTATTTTTATCTTTTTACTACACTTACCTACAGTAACACGTGCATTACAAAGGAGCAATAGTTTGCGGAGGCATTCTAGAACGGTATATATTTTAGCTTTCAGTTTCTGTTTCATTATCTTAAAATTTATTCCGCTTTTATTTTTATTCCCACTCTCGATTCCTTGCTAGCAGTCCGGTTAATTTAGTACCTTTAGTGGGTCTCATTTAATCATTAGCTCTAATTAAAGAACCTCTCACCCTCTCAGAAAACTCCGTTTGGAGATATTCCTTATGCTCTAAGTTATTAATTTTCTTTGTGTTTGAATCCTGTCTCTTTTTAACTGTTTTTAGTCTTTGTTATTTTCGGCCGATTTCCGCACTTTTACACTGGGTCATCATTCAATTTCATAATTTCTGGGATTGAGACGACTTATATCAGCATTTAAGGAAGAGTTTGCTTGTCTGACTTACTTCATAGTAAGACACTTCTGGTCAAGAACTGAACAAGAACCACATTCGAAAACTGGAACATCTGAATGACTCCGCAACCCAGGAATCAACTACTCAGTTATTATCGCTCAATTATCGGTTTGGTATCGACGTTACATACTTTATTATTTTTTTTTAAAGCTGATTTTAGAAACCAGGGAATTAAAGTTACCCTCCTAAGGCTAACATTAAATCGCTGATTAAATTTTATTTATATATATCACATTTTTTTGTTCTTTCTTTTCCTTCAAAACATTCCAGTACATTGTGCAAAAAGTTGGAGATGAAGCCGTAGTACGTACATGTAGCATTGCACTGGATCGAACTTGCAGAGTGTGGTTTCCTCCGCTCCAGTCTGCGCCGCGCGCTTATATAAACATACGCGGCGCAGATCGACTGGAGGAGATTGCACTGTGTAGGCTCCGGTGTAATGTGATATGTATGTACTACGGCTTTACAAATTTTGGAAGCATGTAGGGATATATATCTGATACCAATCGTAAATTCTAAAAATACTCTAGCACAATTGTAACTACAGTTTTACAGAACTCTAAATGCTTAATGAACACTCTTGCAGGTACCACCCGTATTCACACTCAGACCTGAGTTTAGTCATTTTCCGATACGAGATTGGGGACGGGTTCTATAAACAAACAAACAAACAAACATATAATGACAAAATGAGCTTACCAAGAATGTCCTTGTAGCTTGTTAACTGCTTTCCCTTTCTCCATATCAAACACAAGAACAGACCCGTCAACACAACCTGATACTGTAAACGCTCCCTGGAATATTAGTTACCATAGTTACACTGCTAGTTACTAGGTTACTAGGTTACCATGGTTACCATGGTTACCAGGTTACCAGGTTACCAGGTTACTAAGTTATCAGCTTACCAGTTTACCAGGTTACCAGGTTACTAGTTACAGACCCGTCAACACAACCTGACACTGTAAACGCTCCCTGGAATATTGACAATCTAGACAGTACAAAACGAAACGAAACACTGTATTCACTACTAGATAAGAAGGTGATATAGTCAAGACACGCGACTGTTTCTTTTACAGCTTCAGAAATTCTTCAAGCCTTATGATGCATCTAGTTACCTTATGATGCATCTAGTTACCTAGTTGCCTAGTTACCTAGTTACTGCTGATGATGCATCTAGTTGCTGGACTTCACTTAGACCATGTCCATAAAGATTTAATTGTCTAGATTTGCAAGATTTATGACGGTGATGTCTTATGGAAACAACAGTGCTTTTGCAGATTTGACAAATAACACATATTTCCTTAGACTAAAACCTTAGCAGCAGTAATGAATGTGGTAAGTTTTAAAAGAGTAATAAGTAAAAAGTAACGGGGTACATAAGTAAAATCTATAAAATCACGTACCCTCTGAGCAGTAGCGATAGGACAGAAGACACTTCTTATCGGCAGACCGTTTAGTTTAGCAGAGCATTTCCTAACCAGTAGCAACACGTCCTCTGATAAGGGGGAGGGTTAGGTAACTAGGTAACTAGGTAACTAGGTAACTAGGTAGCTAGGTAACAAGCTAACTAGGTAACTAGGTAGCTAGGTAACAAGGTAACTAGGTAACTAGGTAACTAGGTAACTAGGTAGCTAGGTAACTTGGTAACTAGGTAACTAGGTAACTAGGTAACTAGGTAACTAAGTAACTAGGTAACTAAGTAACTAGGTAACTAGGTAACTAGGTAACTAGGTAACTAGGTAACTAAGTAACTAAGTAACTAGGTAACTAGGTAACTAGGTAACTAGGTAACTAGGTAACTAGGTAACTAGGTAACTAGGTAACTAGGTAACTAGGTAACTAGGTAACTAGGTAACTAGGTAACTAGGTAACTAAGTAACTAGGTAACTAGGTAGCTAGGTAACAAGGTAACAAGGTAACTAGGTAACTGGGTAACTAGGTAACTAAGTAACTAGGTAACTAGGTAACTAAGTAACTAGGTAACTAGGTAACTAGGTAACTAGGTAACTAGGTAGCTGGGTAACTAGGTAACTAGGTAACTAGGTAACTAGGTAGCTGGGTAACTAGGTAACTAGGTAACTAGGTAGCTAGGTAGCTGGGTAGCAACACGTCCTCTGATAAGGGTTGAGAACTGGGTTTTAGAACTAGTAGCTGCTTATGGGATTCGGTTATTGAATTTGATAATAGAATTTGTAGAATTTGGTCTTATATCAGGAAACAAAATTTGGTATTATTGTGTTAGAACAGGAAATATAATTGGTTCTTTTAACAGGTTATAAACTATAGAGATAACATAGCATGAGCAGGTTATGTAACTTGGTCATAGAACAGGAAACATAACTTCGTTATTGAACAGATAACATAGCAGGTCATAATATATTGAAAAGTTCCATAATTGATTTGTTTTAACTCGTGTAACGGCCTCATACCCGGCCCAACCATTCTGTTAATCCTAGTTATAATGTGCCATTCTGTAAATACAAATCACGAGTCCGTAACCAAGCAGCAGCATATTCATCCAGTAATATCCATTGTTTTCAATATCCATACGTTTCTCACAAAGGGTGGACATTTTCTCTAACTCAAAAGACGGAGACTAAAACGAGGGTGTGAACGGGGGTCGGAGCCTAGGGACTAAATAATGCAACACTTTCGATCAATGTTTCATTAACGGTTCGGATTATAGGAGAATTGATGACTTTTTATGGATTGAACGGTGGTGACTGGTGGGGGACATGTCATGTAGCCACTTTGCCGTGATGAATGACATTCAACCCTTTTATGACGTTAATATTTAAATTCTGAAGAAAGCAGCTCGGGACTTGGCCTTAATTACCCTTGTTACCTTGGTAGCTTTGTTTTGTATGCCCATTTAAACCTTGACAGTGACACTAGGAGACATCTTTTGTTAGGTGGCTTATCTTTTGTTAGGTGGCTTATCTTTTGTTAGGTGGCTTATATTTTGTTAGGTGGCTTATCTTTTGTTACTTAGTGAATTTGTGAGTAAGAAGGCTACGTCCACTTAGAGGGACCCCATGAGATGTAGCGTATCTTGCCTAAAGTTGTTACATTTCCCTTTACATTTTATAACAGTTGCAAATATTGCAAATAAATAGACTTAATGAAGGGGTGCCTAATTGTCTGCCAACTCTACTACAACTTACTGTCTATTATAGTGAACATGTATATAAGGTCTGAAGTAGAGGAAGCTAATAGTAGAGGTGACTCTACAACTTACTGTCTATAGTGAACATGAAGATAAGGTCTGAAGTAGATGAGGCTAATAGTAGAGGTGACTCTACAACTTACTGTCTATATTGAACATGAAGATAATGTCTGAAGTAGAGGAAGCTAATAGTAGAGGTGACTCTACAACTTACTGTCTATAGTGAACATGAAGATAAGGTCTGAAGTAGAGGAAGCTAATAGTAGAGGTGAATCTACAACTTACTGTCTATAGTGAACATGAAGATAAGGTCTGAAGTAGATGAAGCTAATAGTAGAGGTGACTCTACAACTTACTGTCTATAGTGAACATGAAGATAAGGTCTGAAGTAGAGGAAGCTAATAGTAGAGGTGACTCTACAACTTACTGTCTATACTGAACATGAAGATAAGGTCTGAAGTAGAGGAAGCTAATAGTAGAGGTGACTCTACAACTTACTGTCTATAGTGAACATGAAGATAAGGTCTGAAGTAGAGGAGGCTAATAGTAGAGGTGACTCTACAACTTACTGTCTATAGTGAACATGAAGATAAGGTCTGAAGTAGAGGAAGCTAATAGTAGAGGTGACTCTACAACTTACTGTCTATACTGAACATGAAGATAAGGTCTGAAGTAGAGGAAGCTAATAGTAGAGGTGACTCTACAACTTACTGTCTATAGTGAACATGAAGATAAGGTCTGAAGTAGAGGAGGCTAATAGTAGAGGTGACTCTACAACTTACTGTCTATAGTGAACATGAAGATAATGTCTGAAGTAGAGGAGGCTAATAGTAGAGGTGACTCTACAACTTACTGTCTATACTGAACATGAAGATAAGGTCTGAAGTAGAGGAGGCTAATAGTAGAGGTAACTCTACAACTTACTGTCTATACTGAACATGAAGATAAGGTCTGAAGTAGAGGAGGCTAATAGTAGAGGTGAATCTACAACTTACTGTCTATATTGAACATGAAGATAAGGTCTGAAGTAGAGGAGGCTAATAGTAGAGGTGACTCTACAACTTACTGTCTATATTGAACATGAAGAATGAAGATAAGGTCTGAAGTAGAGGAGGCTAATAGTAAAGGTGACTCTACAACTTACTGTCTATACTGAACATGAAGATAATGTCTGAAGTAGAGGAGGCTAATAGTAGAGGTGACTCTACAACTTACTGTCTATAGTGAACATGAAGATAAGGTCTGAAGTAGAGGAAGCTAATAGTAGAGGTGACTCTACAACTTACTGTCTATAGTGAACATGAAGATAAGGTCTGAAGTAGAGGAGATTAATAGTAGAGGTGACTTTACAACTTACTGTCTATACTGAACATGAAGATAAGGTCTGAAGTAGAGGAAGCTAATAGTAGAGGTGACTCTACAACTTACTGTCTATAGTGAACATGAAGATAAGGTCTGAAGTAGATGAGGCTAATAGTAGAGGTGACTCTACAACTTACTGTCTATACTGAACATGAAGATAATGTCTGAAGTAGAGGAAGCTAATAGTAGAGGTGACTCTACAACTTACTGTCTATATTGAACATGAAGATAAGGTCTGAAGTAGAGGAGGCTAATAGTAAAGGTGACTCTACAACTTACTGTCTATACTGAACATGAAGATAATGTCTGAAGTAGAGGAAGCTAATAGTAGAGGTGACTCTACAACTTACTGTCTATAGTGAACATGAAGATAAGGTCTGAAGTAGAGGAGGCTAATAGTATAGGTAACTCTACAACTTACTGTCTATAGTGAACATGAAGATAAGGTCTGAAGTAGAGGAAGCTAATAGTAGAGGTGACTCTACAACTTACTGTCTATATTGAACATGAAGATAAGGTCTGAAGTAGAGGAGGCTAATAGTAGAGGTGACTCTACAACTTACTGTCTATACTGAACATGAAGATAAGGTCTGAAGTAGAGGAGGCTAATAGTAGAGGTAACTCTACAACTTACTGTCTATAGTGAACATGAAGATAAGGTCTGAAGTAGAGGAGGCTAATAGTAGAGGTGACTCTACAACTTACTGTCTATAGTGAACATGAAGATAAGGTCTGAAGTAGAGGAAGCTAATAGTAGAGGTGACTCTACAACTTACTGTCTATAGTGAACATGAAGATAAGGTCTGAAGTAGAGGAGGCTAATAGTAGAGGTGACTCTACAACTTACTGTCTATAGTGAACATGAAGATAAGGTCTGAAGTAGAGGAAGCTAATAGTAGAGGTGACTCTACAACTTACTGTCTATAGTGAACATGAAGATAAGGTCTGAAGTAGAGGAAGCTAATAGTAGAGGTGACTCTACAACTTACTGTCTATAGTGAACATGAAGATAAGGTCTGAAGTAGATGAGGCTAATAGTAGAGGTGACTCTACAACTTACTGTCTATAGTGAACATGAAGATAAGGTCTGAAGTAGAGGAAGCTAATAGTAGAGGTGACTCTACAACTTACTGTCTATATTGAACATGACAAGGATGGTAAATGCGTTTTGGGGAGACTACGCGTAGATACTACGCATACGTATTTCCCGATGATAAATTACGTATTTCAAATTAAGTTGCAGTAACGCGCGAAGATATATATATAAATATTACATTATAGTACATGGAATCGTGGCCTAATTGGTTAATACGCTAGCTCCATATCATCAGATAGCGAGTTCGAGACTCGGATAGGATCATTTTTTCCCATACTTTTGGCAATTATGAATAACAAATGAATAACTAAAAATAACTCTGTAATATAACTAGCAAGGTGAAATGAAATCGTCTTCCGGCCGAAAAAATTATTATAGCCGTTTTAAAAATTTATTATAGCCGTTTTTTCTTTCCAGGCTGGATTCCTAGTCACTTTTTAAATGTATGCCACTGGGAAGTCCGTGTTAATCCGGTAACCGGTTTCAAAATTCAAGCAAGAGAGACTTGTGATCTTAGTCTGCGAATATTGTAATAGATAAAAATGCACTGGAACTGGGTCTCGGTTGAAAGTCTATTCCTCGAGGGAGGCATAACTGCTTTATACCCTTAGAAGCTCTGCTTTGCAGCAGACTGACTGATTGGTTGGTTCAGCATAAGAATAGCAAGTCGCTGCAGCGTTTTCATTCGAGCACCGTAAAGTCTCCAAAACGACTGTCAGTATTGCTACAGGGTGGGCCAAAAGTCAGTACCCATACGTTGGCCTTAATAGCTCAGTCACTGAGTGCCCAATTTAAATACTTCTTTCTGGTATGACTTAGTACCACCACTGGTTCGAGGAATTTGTCAACTCGAAAAATATTCGCGTTCATTTTTTTCAAATGGAGGTTCATTTTCATATTTATTTGATAGTTTGGATAGTCGGATCAAGCTAAATGTTATTGAATTGTGTTTGGCCATTCGAATTACGTTTGTCCTGAAAGAATTAGAACTGTAGCTTCTCAGATGACCGAGATATGAAGCATAACGAGTTTATTCATTACGTGTGATCAGGTGATTGGTTTACCTAATCACGTGATAAGGTGACCCCGTTAACTACCCCGTTAAACATTATGGGAATTGTTAAGGGTGCCCAATTAAGGTGTCGTGTCACGGTGTCACATAATCACCCAGTCAATTTTGTTAACGAGATACAGAAAATGCTTGATTACTTCGTCATTTCTAATCCGTTTTGCCTCATGTTTGAAGATCATATGCAACATTTGATAATCTACCGTCTCTGAAAAAATTAGGCGTTCAGCATGTTCAGAGAAAACAATATAGGTGTTTTAATATTGAATGGGCGTGGTCTAAAATATTCGAATTTTCAAATTTTGACGACGGAATCCTCCAACCAGTAGGTAAAGTATGCCATCTGCAAAGCAACAGCTCTCAAATATAAAACACGGCGGGGCTATTAAGGCCAACGTATGGGTACTGACTTTTGGCCCACCCTGTATATACCACTGAGCCAGCGACGCACGCGCAAATATCACTAATCTGTAATCACGTATTTCCATAGAGATACGCGCGTATTTTGAAAAATTTTACCATCAAAGAATTTAAGCGCCAAATTTTGCCGTATTTCACGTATTTCTTAGAATTTTTGAATACGGCGTATTTACAGGCGATTTTTTGACGTATTTACCATCGATGGAACATGAAGATAAGGTCTGAAGTAGAGGAGGCTAATAGTAAAGGTGACTCTACAACTTACTGTCTATACTGAACATGAAGATAATGTCTGAAGTAGAGGAAGCTAATAGTAGAGGTGACTCTACAACTTACTGTCTATAGTGAACATGAAGATAAGGTCTGAAGTAGATGAGGCTAATAGTAGAGGTGACTCTACAACTTACTGTCTATATTGAACATGAAGATAAGGTCTGAAGTAGATGAGGCTAATAGTAGAGGTGACTCTACAACTTACTGTCTATAGTGAACATGAAGATAAGGTCTGAAGTAGAGGAAGCTAATAGTAGAGGTGACTCTACAACTTACTGTCTATATTGAACATGAAGATAAGGTCTGAAGTAGAGGAGGCTAATAGTAGAGGTAACTCTACAACTTACTGTCTATAGTGAACATGAAGATAAGGTCTGAAGTAGAGGAAGCTAATAGTAGAGGTGACTCTACAACTTACTGTCTATATTGAACATGAAGATAAGGTCTGAAGTAGAGGAAGCTAATAGTAGAGGTAACTCTACAACTTACTGTCTATATTGAACATGAAGATAAGGTCTGAAGTAGAGGAAGCTAATAGTAGAGCTAACTCTACAACTTACTGTCTATAGTGAACATGAAGATAAGGTCTGAAGTAGAGGAGGCTAATAGTAGAGGTGACTCTACAACTTACTGTCTATAGTGAACATGAAGATAAGGTCTGAAGTAGAGGAAGCTAATAGTAGAGGTGACTCTACAACTTACTGTCTATAGTGAACATGTATATAATGTCTGAAGTAGAGGAAGCTAATAGTAGAGGTGACTCCACAACTTACTGTCTATAGTGAACATGAAGATAAGGTCTGAAGTAGAGGAAGCTAATAGTAGAGGTGACTCTACAACTTACTGTCTATAGTGAACATGAAGATAAGGTCTGAAGTAGAGGAGGCTAATAGTAGAGGTGAAGGATGTCCTGCCCTCACTGCTAAACTCACTACGGATCCTCCTCCAGGAATAGAAGTACACTTCATCCTTTTCAGCTGACACGTCTGAAATAATTAATTAATTAACTAATTAGTATTAGTTTAATGGTGAAGAGGGAAGTGTTTTAGATTAGGTTTGATGGTGATCATATTGTAGACATGATCACCATTATTCTACACTGGATTATCTAAGGACGGCTGCTGCTTAATATAATCATTACTAACTTGTATAATTCACACTAAACGTCAGCTAACGCTCATTAAAAATGATTTAAGTTATGATAACAATAAAATATCTTAAAGAGTGTTTAGATTCCAAATATTCTCATGCTATAGTAGAATTGGTTAAGTTCCTGGGTTAACTTCCCAAATGACTGGCTCCCTTAATAAATTAATAATACTCTTAATTTGATACGCCCGTGATGATCATTTATCATTATTATTAATTATTATAACTGTTATTTATCATTAGTAGTCGACACATTTCTTTCGCTATTAAACAATTTTCAAGCGACAATAGACACGGATTTAACTACTTTTCTAGTGGTATCTATTAAATTCCAATGAACTGACAGATTTTTTCCGCTTTATTTCATATCATAACCCTCAGTACCTATATGGTCTGATTCTAATGGAATTTTAGCAGGTAGGTATTAAATTTACAAGGCCCAAATATGTGACCCGGCCATTTTAATCGTCCACAAATTATGCCGTGAAAATTATTCGATTTACCAACACAAAATAATGTTATCAGTCGAGACTTTTTTTCACAGCTTCGAGGTGCTAATTTAAATTAAATGGCATCTTTTGTCTTGGATTTTTGGCAAGAATAAGCGTTCAAAATCTTCTGTATTGTTTCCTGCAAAAACGATTAAAATATTTTCACTGGCCGATTCAGGGCTCGTTAGGGTTAATTTGCCAACATTCACGTGAAATGTTTCTAGATCCCAATATTTTAAAAGAAATTCTTTTCATCGACGATTTCTTTACTCTGTAAGATGATATTTGGCAAGCTTCTTGCCGGATTCACAGGTAATACTAATGATTGCGTGTCCGGGAAATCCCGGCCTCATTAAAGTTGTTTTTCAGACCGTTTAATCAACATCCACCCTCCTCGCTTTTTTATTGCTTATTGAACTTCCGCCTTTCCCTTATTCTGATGAACAATTATTATACACATTTGTATTGTTCTTTATTTACCAATTAGTGAAAACTATATTATATTTAATTGACCACCAATTTTGCATCATCAAGATTATACAGATAAGAGTAATCAGTAAAAAATGTCTGATGTGATAATTTCATGGGATTTTTTTGCGCATTTTTGACAAAAAATCTGCACAGTATCCACATTTTGTCCTGCCAAATCAATCAAAATTCTAACACTGCAGGCCTATTCGTTACTCGTCATAATCACAATTTGCTGACAAAATTATACCCCACCAATTTCAATGTATGGAATGACTCCACCGACGTAGACAGGAGTTAAATCTATTTTCAAGGGTCTTAAATTACCTTCGCTTAGTGTGACACGACCACTTATATACAAATGAAGTGCTAATGAAGCCCAATATAGCATACACGTGCACAATCCTCCTCACAATAAACAAACCTCTTTACACCAATTTATTCCAAACTCGAGAACAATTTAACTGGAGAACAATCTAAGTTTAACTCGAGAACAATTTAACTCGAGAACAATCTAAGTTTAACTCGAGAACAATTTAACTCGAGAACAACAAAATTCAACATTATATATTACTGAATTTATTCATTGAAGACGTGTTATAGTCAAAGTGGATGGCGTAATTGTTTATTTATCGCCTTGCTAAATTGGTGCGTTACGGTTCTTTAACATTAGTTGTTTGTTTAACATATCGGTTGTTTAAGGCTCTTGTGCGAGAGTTTACTTTAGAGTTTTATTTAACGAAACGTTTACACTTATTTACACCAAATTCGAACCACAATAATCGCGTTTCGGTTCCCATGTAGACTTTCTTTTTTTTGTAAACTTAAAATACAATAGCATGAGTTCAATGCTATTTTTGTTGCTATTCTTTTTGAAAACATGTCGATTACAAAGCACTTACCAGCATGTTGACACTGACGGAGTATATCTGACCCTTGTTGTTGCTTGCCCAGAGAATACTGCTATTAGGACCGAACTCTAGACAGGTCAAACTGTTGCTAACTCGCTCCCTAGATCCTGTGGTGAAGGGTTAGTTAGAAGTATATAGTTATAAGAGCTTACTCTTAAACGTTTAAACATTCGTTTTTATGAAATTCAAAAGAAAATACCAGGCCCTAAAAATACGAATAGTAATATTTTTATAGTCCAAATATCATACAGTAAAGAGTATTATACCCAGTACAGTAAAGTGACAGTATTGACGAATATAATCAAAGCCATGTGACAAAATGAAATTGGGTGAAATTGAATTCAACGTGCCACACTGCCGGAGAGGTTTGTGTGAAATTGTGCATAATTGCATGGTTACATACTCTATTGCACGTGTACTGGGCACTGGCGCGTTATTGTGCACGTGTGAGCGTTTACTTTCTAGTATATTTCACGGGCATTTTCTCTTGGAGTTCTTTTCTTTCTTTCTGTTTTATATACAACGCCTGGTAAACACCATTATGCATCAAGCGTAGCTCCTTGTCCACATATACAGTACATGATCACACACAGAGACGAAAGACAACTAGACTGTGGGTCGGGCTAGCCTTAGCACCCGCCAAGCACTGACATTGCCTTGTAGCCGTCTATAATCAACCTCCGATCTATAATCAACCTCCCATGAATTCACCAAACTTAAACTAGTCGCCAATAACTGGCGAATAATATATATGGGGTCATTGGTCAATGAACTGTAGATTAATAATATATATGGGGACTAGGATCTGGAGCAAGGATCTGGAGCACCCTTTAACTTTCCTTTATGATCTAAAGAAACATAATCTGCATTACCGCGTTAGGAGATTACCCCGTGTAACTGTAGATTAATAGTGGCCGGTGCGGTATTGAGGATAATTATGGTGCTATATTGTGCTTATTTGTTGGTTATTTTAATTTAACAATCTTAGTCTTACTGTTTACTTGTTGGATATTTTAATTTTAAAAACTTTGGACTTGTATTATAGCCAGCTATAATTATAAGTACTAAGTAGCCTCTCGTAATTGCAATTCCAACTTACTCGGCAGCATACTTTAAGGGTCATGAAGGACTAAGGATCTGAAATAACTACTAAGGTTCGTATTTTATCTTGTAGTGGTAAACTTTAAGTGGGTGTCTCTTACAGAAAACACAGGTGTAGAGTGCAGCTGACACCCACATCCAGAAAGTTTTATATTTCCTCCCAGATGCGTTTTTTTAAAAATTCTGTGGCCCGCTCGCTTCGCTCGCAAGTTTGGGGAGGGGGCTGTCGGCGAGCGAAGCAAGTCGACGTGTCCAATCCAGCTGCGCAGCGAGCGAAGCGAGCAAGCTGTGGCAGGGGTCTGGGGGCGCAGCCCCCAGCAGGGTCCAGGGGCGAAGCCCCTTGGCGGGGGCTAGGGGGCGCAGCCAAGGGTGTTTTAGACGGCATTTGGCATTAAAGAAATTTGTAGGACAGCAATAAACTGGGATTGAAAAGAATCAAGTACTCACGTAAATTTGATAACTTCACAACAGCAATCTGCATTCTCCAATCAGAATATTTCACTGTGTTCCAAAACTGACAGGATGTTCCTCTTTGATTTTTATACAATCGAAATATTTTCTTCAAAAATTTCCTCAATTAATTTGTCTTCATTCCAAAAAATATTTCGAAATTTAGGAATTACTTCTCAAAAATTTCCTCTTTTTCTCCCGTTTTTCCTCCCAAAAAAAAATGTCCTCCCAGGCTGCCTGGCAAGATGGCGTGTTTCTGGATGTGGGAGCTGACAACCTTTAAGTACTGGGCTTCGTTGTAGTTTTTTTGGGATTTCTCACTAGTGGAGGGCAGCTGAATGCTCTAATTACGGGGACTGGTGTTGAACTATTTAATATCTTGGAAACTCGTGGAAACTGTAGAGTTTGCAGTGAAATGGTCGCCGGTATAATGAATTTTTAGGATTTAATATGGAAACTGGTAGAAGCCTTCGGATCAGGAGTTTAGGAGTCGCCGGAAAATTATTTTTTTGGATATTCTCATTTGGGAGTTGCAGTTAACTGTAATTGCAGGGCCTGGTACGATAAAATAATATGGAGATGTGCAGAAACATTCCAATTTGTAGGTTATATAGTCGCAAAGAAAATAAATCTTGGGATTTTCTCATTTGTGCATCATGCATGAGTCCTGACAGCTGTAACCCAGTAACCTGGTAAAACGTTCGAGCCCAGTGCGAAAATCTCTAATTGAGAAAATAATTCGTCAGCTGAGCATTGTAATCGAAGAGGCTGGTATTTAACGATATATTAATATGGAAACGGGAACCAAATTTCTGATGAGCAATTTTGGAGTCGCCGGGAAACTAAATTTTAAGGGGATTCTGAGGAGGCCATGTTATCATTTCAGCATTGCAGCTGCGCGTTGTAATCACAGAGGCTGGTATTAAGCGATCTATTAAAACTGATGGAAACTTTCGGGGCCAGTGGCGAAAATCTCAAATTAAAACCAGTGCACCAACATGTACTATATATCTAAGGGGCCATACCCCAAAACAGTGGTTTGTGCCGTCCAGACCAAATGACCTCATAGGCAGTTCAGTGACCTTCTAGCGCACCGTTTCCACACCAAAAAAAATTATTTTGAGAATACCTATTTTTGTAATCGAGCATTGCCTGGTTAAGAGTGCAATTTTCGGAAAAAATTATTTTGTGGTTGAGACGCTATAAGTTAATCATTTCTTGCGGTATCGGGTTAAAATTTTGCTCGCCGTTTATTCACATCTATGTCAAGATGTGTGTAAAATCTTGATATCGTATCTAAAAAAAGCTGGTGTTTTATGAATTTTTAAAGTCAAAAAGCTAAAATTGTCCTTTTCAGGCTTATTTTAACAAAAAGTCAGTCAGGGAAGATCGGATTATTTGATGCTTGACATCAAATTGTTTTTTGGCTTTGCAGATAAAAAATCACATTTTCTCCCATAACTTCAAAGGGAAGCATTTTAGGGTGTTTTGTTGTTCATAACTCATATATAAATGTGCTAGTTGCGGTTATTTTGCACCCTTCAAAAAGTCACTAGCACATTCCTATCAAAATTTTAGAAAAATCAGTAAATATTAAAAACGAAAAATGTGCCTAAATTTGTTGTTGGCTTTGAGGTCCAATAGATCAGAAGGTGAATGAGTAAAAACATTTTTGAGGGCATCAAAAACTGCGCCAGAATTCAGAGAACAATTTGATGTCAAGCATCAAATAATCCGATCTTCCCTGACTGACTTTTTGTTAAAATAAGCCTGAAAAGGACAATTTTAGCTTTTTGACTTTAAAAATTCATAAAACACCAGCTTTTTTTAGATACGATATCAAGATTTTACACACATCTTGACATAGATGTGAATAAACGGCGAGCAAAATTTCAACCCGATACCGCAAGAAATGATTAACTGATAGCGTCTCAACCACAAAATAATTTTTTCCGAAAATTGCACTCTTAACCAGGAAATGCTCGATTACAAAAATAGGTATTCTCAAAATAATTTTTTTTGGTGTGGAAACGGTGCGCTAGAAGGTCACTGAACTGCCTATGAGGTCATTTGGTCTGGAAAAATTTGGGGTATGCCCCCTTAACTTAATATTAAACTTTATATTAACAGTATGTTCATCGTGCATTTTCTATGATCCGAATTTATTAATAAAAAGTTTTATGGCATTTACAGTTGAACACGTTAATATAGTACCTGGTCTTCTATTGTACCTTGTCCTTTAAAGTTATTGTGTTACTTTACCGATTACAAAGATTGGCATTGCTACTAATTTTAATAAGAAAGCCGCTCGATTATGTTATAGTCAATAAGTTTCCCAATTATAATTGACGGTTACTTTGGTTGTTTTTGTTCGGTATCTGCTTCACCGAATTCGCTTTTATCTTGAGGTTCTTTAGTGCATAATTTATGATCATCGTGAAAGTTCACGACTCGTTTTCTCAAAACTTTGATAGGTCTTTGACACAAAATTAATCTGTTCCTCGTTCACGCCGTCGCTCCACAAAAAACCTAACGAATCCACACTTTAGAATCGATTTTTTGCCGGTCCCTGGTAGGTACGGATACAAGGATGATGATAATGGAGACGACTATAATAGTACTATAACTGAAGACTGTAAAAATACTGTATAAGTTTTATCTTAATAGCGGTGTTATTAAATTTCAATTTATTATTATTATTCTTATATTCGATATAGAAATGTGATTTTGTTGCAATTCGTGGAAAAAAATTTGTCGAAAAAACCCAGTGGAGTTTACAGAATAATGGCAACACTCAATCTAAACGGAGCTTTAAGAATCACATACAACTCACAGTTCTCAGTCTAAATGTCAGAAGAGTTAACGATAATTACCGTATTTTATAATGTCTCCTCTGTGAGTGGGTAATGAAATTGACTGTGATGTCCAGTGAACAACTAGTATAGCTGACACTGACTGTTATAATTATATGAGTTACAGACCTCAATTTTCAGATATAAGTTACAAGTTTCTTAGTTTAGAGCACAAACCTTCAGCGAAGTAAATTTCAGTATTGTGCTCGGCCGTATTATAGTAAACACCTTTTATTGACGTTTTCAAAAGTTTCTTAAAAACTAATTTTACGAATTGGATCAAAAAATCGATCATATGATTGCCGAATACAATACGATGGACATATCTACTGTAAATGTCAAATCCCGAATTGCCGTGCTACATGAAAAGTACGTGTTCTGTGCAACCCCGCGCGCCGACTGCTCCAGTTTTTAAAAACTAAACTTGGTCTTCTAACTAAGAAAACATGAATTTTTTATTCGTGCAAGGACTATAATAGTTCCACAGAAACCTAACAATTTCACCGACAGATTCACCGACAGATTCACCGAGATACGGAAATATAAAATATCTCCTAAGAATTCTGGATTATAAGAGAAGTAGGACGTGGTGATTTTTTTCCTTTTTTGCTGATGACATTGTTACTGTTACAACGCTCAATTTGTATGGGCTTTTAATTTGTAAGAGTCACATACAACTCACACATTCAAGCCTAAACATCAGA